TAAAGAAAAAATGGGGTCTTAGAGTTCTACAAGATAAAAACAAGTATAACAAGATGTGAAAAAAAATGGGAATTTCAAATGGAGAGGGGACAAAGGCATAGAATAAATATATAAATAAAAATTGGAAAAACTTCCAAAATTTGATGTAAAAAAAAATTGTACATCAAAGAATCTCAACATACTCCAWGTAGGATAAATTTAAAGATCTACACCTAGACACTACATAATCATGCTGCTCAAAAACCAAAGATAGAGAATTTTGAAAACAGGAAAATAGAAATGATTAATCATATAAAAGAAATTTTGAAGAAGATTAAAAACTTAGAGCTAGAGGTGTAGCTCACTGGGAGAGAATATGCTTAGCATAAATGAAAAATAAATCTAGACACTTTCAGATAAAACAGAAAGATTCTGTCACTAACAATCTTTCCATAGAAGAAATACTAAGGGGAATGCTTCAAACTGAAATGGAGGGACATAGGGCAGGAAGTCTATTCCACATGAGGAAATAGAGTATTGATAAAGGCAACTATAAAAATAAATATGAAAGATAGTTTAAATGCAGACTTTTGTTTGAAAAGATTGTTTTTTCTTGTGATTTAAAAGATAACTGCATAATCAATAATTTTAAATCTCTGTTGTTTGGAACACAATATATAAAGATGTAATTTTTATAACAACAGTACAAGGCAGAAATGTAGCTATAGATAAGTTTTGTAAATCATTGAAATTAAATTAACCCAAAATAGACTGTTACAAATTAAGATGATAATTGTAAATCTAGGGAAACCACTTGAAAACAATGAAAAAAATACATTTAAAAAATAGTCTGCTGGCTTCCATTTAAGGAGTTTTGCAGTTGTCACTTGACACTTGACTCCAACAACAAGCATAAAGATGAACCATAGGAAGAATCAACAACTCTTCCTAGATCTGAGGTCAGAGGGTAAAGCACTGATACCCAAAGTTGAAGACACAGGCAGATAGTGAAAATCACAACTTACCAGGGCAGAAACTTGCAAATAAAATCCTCCAGGAGAACCAGTATTGTGTGTGTGTGTGTGGGGGGGGAACACATGAACTAAAATTTGCAAATTCCAGGAGATTCAGAGGAACAAACCTCAGAGTTAAAAACTTGAGGGGACCTAGTCACAGAAGGACCTTTATACTTTCATAATTTTTACTACCCAGTAAAAAAAACTTGACCAGACTCTCATAGTGAATATCAGAGGAAATGTCCCCTCATGATTCTAGCAGGAGAGAGGGTAAAGGAACCATTTTGAAATACATTAGAGCATTCTGTTTTAACAAGACATGCCCTTAAGAAAAACTACTTTACCAAATACTAAACAATTGGTGTTTTATCGCATCTTAATTGACTGAGCAATAAAAACAATACCCAGATCCAATCTACTCTGGCCCTCCACTCTAGGGGAAGAAAATACCCACCTCCTGCCCATTCTACTACCCATCCTATCCCAAGGTAAGTGACAACAAGCATTTGCAAAGTTCACATTTCAAAGGTGCACACTCAATAAAAGAATGAGCCCTCATCATAGAACCCTAGAATGCTACTCCTCACCCTACACATTACCACCATTTTACTTACAGCCTTTACTATAGTTCTTTGTACCCAACATGTCATATCTGGCTATAAAGTAAAAAATAAAAATAAAATAAAATATATTACAAGGTATTCTAAAAAGCAAAAACACACTTTTGAAGATCCAAAACAAACATGAGAATCAGACTCAAATTTGGTAGGCATATTATACTTATCAGACCAAGAATTTATGATTAATATGTCGCTAATGGATCTAAAGGATAAAGTACAGAGCATGTGAAAACAGATGAGCAATGTAAGCAGACAGACATTCTAGGAAATTATTTAAATGCTAGGAATCAATAATGATGCAACATAAATAGAAAATGTTGATGGGGTGATTGGTAGACTTGACAGGATCGAAGAAAGAATCACTGAGCCCAAGGATATGTCAATAGAAATCTCCAAGACAGAAAAGCAAAGAGGAAAACACAGGTCTATAAAAACAACAACCACAAAATCCTAGAATATTTATGGACTGAGATAATAGACAATACTTTTTAAAAGGTTGTAAAATATTTTTATTGGGAATACCAAAGTAAAAGTCAGAGAAAAAGAATAGAAACAATATTTGAAGCAATAATGACTGAAAACTTACACCAAACCAGATTCAGAAAGCTCAGAAAACATCAAGAGGGTAAATGCTGAAAAAAAAATGGACCCCCCAAATTAACATCATACTCAAACTTCAGAAAATCAAATAATGGACATTTATGTACTATTTCAACCAACACTGTAGGTCATCCATTCTTCACAGGTTCACATGGATATTCAYCAATATAAACCACATTGTGAGCCATAAAATATTTCTTAACTAATTTAAAAAAATAGAAATCTTAATATGTCAGCTCTTACACTATGATAGAATTAAAACAGACACCGATAATAGAAAGACAGCTAGAGAATCTCCAAAAACTTGGATATGGAACAGCATATTTCTAATTAACAAATGAATTAAAGTAGAAAGCTTAAGATAAATTTAAAAAAATATATATTTTAAACTGAATGAGAACAAAGACATAACATCAAAATCTTTGATCCAGTAACAGATATTCTTCAGGGGAAATTTATGGCATTTTATGCACATATTAGAAAARGATAAAGACAGAAAGAAGTTTCTACCTTAAGAAATTGGAGGTGGGAGGTACTGGGCGTGGTGGTGCCTGCCTATAATCCCAGAAACTCCAGAGGATTGCAAGAAAAGCTGACAAAATTGAATGGGAAAATGCGMAACTCAAAGTAAGAATTGGAAAATTTAATACTCTGCTTTCAATCTTGCATAGAACTAGAGAGCACATTCACCAAGAAATAGATTACTTGAATAACACTATAAACAAACAGATATCTTTAGAACATCCCATTCAAAGATAGTAAAATGCACTTTCTTTTTAGGTTTATATGGAACATTGTTCAGTATCAGTCATTTTTTTTTTGCTATAAAATAAGTTGTAATGCATTTTTAAAAACTGAATCACATGAAATATATCTTCTGGTAACAGAATGATATTAGAAATTAACAAAAGAAAATTAAGAGAATTGGGCAAATAAGGCAAGATGTTTTAAAATAACACTGACTTTTAAAAATTTAAAATCGAAATGGAGTTTAAATTGAAAGTTTTAAATATAGAATAAGATTTTGCTACTGTTAAGATTTATTAAAAATATTAATGGCCTTATTTTTATCATTCTCCTTAGTGCTATTGTAGAATTACTTCTTTATTTCAGAACATTTTCAACACCAAACAGAAGTTCTCTTGGAAAACAAAACATTTTCCGATCATCACCAATAACTGTATTCCTCTATTTTAATCCTGAGTCTTTCAGTAAAATTAGTTTGTAAAGATATTTAAATTTTTTTTCTTAAATGATGAAAACTATCTCTCCAACTGAAAGTTAAAAGGGTTTTTCAAAATAGCAACTTCCCACTTAGACTTTAACCAAAAGTTAAGTTTTTTCACTATTCTAATAAAAAAAAAACTCTTTCTACAGAAGATTTTAGTCATTTTAATTAAGTACATTTTTATTATGTACATTTTATCCTTAACACTATGGAGATTATATCTATAAATAAGATTCAGCTTTAACCCTTTGCAACCTTATTATCTATTAGGTAGGTAGTGTTAGTCACACAGCATGCAGATAGCTTCAATTACATGCAAAATGCAATGCATACAATAATTAAGACATGCAAAACAAAAATGATTCAAAAAAGGAGTTGTTACATCTAATTAGAGTACTTAGGAATGGTTTCTTTTAAAGGAATGGTTCTCAACTTTGGCTATCCATGAGTGTCACCCTGGGAAATTTAAGAAATCTTGATGACCATGAAACCTTCATGACCAGTCAAATAAATAGAATGTCTTATACAAACGACCTAATCATCAGGAATTTTTAAATCTCCTAGGTGATTCCAAAGTGCAGCCAATTTTAGAACCATTGTTGCACATGACAGTAATGAGGAAGGAATAGTTAGACTTGAACAATGGGTTAGGTTTCAAGTGAAAGGGATAGGATATGAGAGCACCTGAAGGAATCCCCTTCTAGAAAACAGCTACTTTACTTTCATTTTTCAAACCTCAGCTCAATTATAACATTCCCTGCAAAGTTTTCTGGAATTCCTCAATGATAGCAATAATAATCTTAATAATGGTAATAAAAGTTGATGCTTTTTTTATGGCCTGTGCTATATGCCAGCTATCATCCCAAGTACTTTAAATATATTTTAATATTAGTCCTCCCACAACACCAGGAGACAGATAAAATTACTATTCCCATTCTAYATGAAAAGAAGAAAAATATCTTATCAAGGTTACATGACTAAAAAGTGGTAGAGAGTTGAGACTGAAATGTATTCCAGAATCCATGTCTGAAACAGGACCAACTGCAGTCTGTTGCTCTTTATAAAGCCTCCCATAGAGCCCAGGTATACTTCAATCATACTATGAAGCACACAACACCAAAAATACTTTCATGTTTTCACTTCCACTACTCTTTATTTATTCAATATACAGTTGTTGAGCATTTTCTTGGTGTCAAAAAGGGCATTTGTTACACGAATATAATGTCACATATATGTCAAAGAATCTGTGAAGGAATTTTAGTCTAGAGTAGAGATCTGCAAATTATAGGCTAAAACCTAATGGCCACATGTTTTGTAAATAAAGATTCATGGAGCCACAACCGCAGTCATTGGCTCATATATAATCTACAGCTACCTGTGTAACATTAGAGTGCAATGCTTTCTATTTGTCCTTAAATTGATTGAATTAAAAGAATTCTATTTTTTTTAAGAACAGTTGTAGAGGGGGGGAGCTATCTTTTTTAATTGTTTTTAGAGATGTACATAACTATTAACAATATAGTTTTACAAATGTGAAGTGGTTACAACATAGTATACCTGGAAAATTCATAGGCAGTTCAAATGGTTCTGGAGACACACAACCTTCAATATTCTCACAAATTTCAGCTATAATCTTCTTAATTTTGAGACCAGTGATTTTAATCACTTCTCCTGTTGACAAACAGCATTCATTTCCAAACATTTCGTAAACAGAGCCTGAAAGGAAAGAAAAGTAAAAGCAGATTTTWAAAAGGAATTAAACAGTGAAGGACAAAGTCGTCGGAGTAAAAAGCCTCATGTGAAGTGTCTTTGCTTAGTTCCTCTCTTAGTTCCCTACTAAACAGGAGTTTAATCAAGCCTAGCAAAATGTACACCATGTACCAGGAAACATTAGATTTTCACTCTATCCACTGGCAAAGTGTAAACAATCTTGTTTTTGCATTATTATAAATTGAATTTGTGGTTTCCTCAGCACTTTTAGCTCATCTTTTCCAAGGTCAAAACAACAAACAGGCCTTCCACTGATGGGACTTATGATCTAATTTTTCTAAGTCACAGAATTAGGCTCAGACGAGTCAACAATGGTTTAAGTAAGTAATGCAAACAGGGTTGTAACACAATCCAAGATCCAAAGACGGGTCTGTTCCCCAGGGAAGAAGAGCACCATATTTATTTGTTAGATCTGCTCCTCTTCATTATTGTGAATATAAGATTGTTTGCCCATTTTTATCTGATAGTTTTTGATAAGCTGGAAACAATACCTTTATGGCAACAGGGGGCAGACCAGCCCAGATAAACTGAGAAGCTTCACTGTAATTCAGGATTTTCAGTATCCTTCCTGACAAACCTTTCATCATAGATTCTAAAGTTAAGCATTTCATTCATTTTTCTTGTTTGGTCCTCTGATGAAAGGACAAGGGGCAGTGAAATAACCAAGGAATGAGTAACCGGAAAGTGGAGAGGCAGAAAGGTCGAACAATCTACCCCTAGTGAAAAGAAAACAACCCAAAACCACAATTCTGGCGTGCTACTGCACTACAATTATGAAGTAAAAAAGGCTRATGTAAGTAAACATTGAAGAGCCAAAGCTTTATTTAAATAGAATATTAATGTGTTCTAACCTTTGAGATAGTTCATAGCCTCTTAATCACACTAAATTTAAAGTATTCGAGGACAAAGTTTTAGGTTTGCTTGATTTCTGAATTTTTTTTTTCTATTGAATACTCCTTCACAGACCCTGCCTGACCTGATATATAGTAAGAACTTGGAAACACTTTTATGGCATTAATGGTTCTCATAAAAGTTATTAAGCCTGGCATTCAATCTAGCTCTACAATCCAACTCTTCAATTACATCGGAGTCCCACCAGGTAAAGGGACACACTCAARTTAAAACAATTTAAGAAGGTTTAACATATGGGCTATTTGCATAGAGGTACAGCCAGCCCCAGGCAACCTAAGAAAATTAATGTCTGATCTCATTCTCCTTCCAGGTACCTTACTAGCCAATTTCCTCCAGAAACCAAAGGACTAGGGAGCTGCTAATAGTCCCATAAAAGTCCACCATCCAGACAGGGTGGAAATGACCTCAGTACATCAACATTACTGTCCCTTAGCTAATGAAAAGTAATTTTGTAAGCTAGTGTGTATCTGTTCCTCAAGCTATCAGTATGTACTTCCACAACACCTTTTTTTCTCATTTTATTTCCTTAACTAGTTAAATTCTCATACTTTTTAAAAACGGTAATACATAGAATTATCAGCGGTCTCAAGTCCTTTGTGGAACAAATTGAGGCATCCAAATAAACAATAAATAATCTACAATGACATTACCTCCAATAAACTTAGAAAAGCTGTTTGCTATAATCCTCATTCATCAATTATCACATACTAACATTTTAAATCTTAAGTATTATTTCACCCTGTATTTAACTTTTTGTGAATTTAGATTTTATTACTTCCAATTTAATTTTAAACTTCATGAGAGAAAAAAATTGCATTGTATTAATGCATGACTATAACATATCAATCTCCTTTCTCCACTGAGTCCTCAAACATAAGAGAATGGCTACTACAGTGTTGGCAGCTACCCTGGAAAGGAGCTATGTACACACTTTTAAGTCCTGAGTAAAGAGGTACTGCATTGGTATTGTACCCATTGCAATGCAATTGGACCTTACCTCTGCTTGGATAAGAAAGATGCATTACCCAATGGGGTTGGATTACAACCACTTGTTTGTTGTAACCCTACCCCTTGCCTCATTTGAATGGCTTCTCCTCAATAAAACCTGGGTTTGAGGCATGCTCCCTCTCTTTTTTGCCTGCCTTGCCCCCCTTGTGGGAGCTGTGGCTGAGAAGCAGTCACTGAACCCAAAGAAAAAGGTATTTTCTGTGTCTGTGTCTTTATTTACTTAGCCCAAATTCATTTAGAGTGACCCTGATTGATTTAGTCATATGATGCTGCAGTATGGGTCCAGCAGTGTGTTTGGCAGTATGTGTCAGATAAAATGCACAGCCTTTTTTCACCCGAAGCTCTGCTTAGAAGAAGATGGCCAAGTTCTGCTAACATCTGCAACAGATTATGAGAAAGTTGTAAGGAGCATATGATAGGTGTTTAATTAGCAATTGCATGGTGAAAAGATTAAAGGAGAATTCCTGAAGGAGAGGAGAGATGAGCTGTGTTTTAAAGGATGCATCACAAGATCATAGGACAGGTAGAGGAAACAGTATTTGAAAAGGCACTGACATGTGAAAGAGCCTGACACATTCTGGAAATTTCAAGTAGTTTGTTATGTCTAAACTGTAAGGTAATAAAAGGGAAGTGGTTAAAAACAGAGGCTAGAGAAGAACATAGAGGGAGTTCAGACTGTGAATTCTTTCAAATCAAAATTATATAGGGAAGATCAGTGGAGTAGAAGAAAGATTGAGAGTAAGAGAGGAAGGATGGGAAAGAGGAGGAAATATGGAATAAACTTAACAAAATTACATCATATGCACATATAAATGGACCACAGGGAATTTCACTTTCATGTATATATAGAAAGTACCAACAAAAAAATAAATTTAAAAACAAATAAAAGGACTATGAATAAAGGGAGAAAGAATAGGGAGAGAGAGAATAGGGAAAGGGAAAGTGGGGTTGGGGTGGGGAATGAGGATTGAAATAAAATTCCATGCAGGTAAGATTTTGTCAAAATGAACTCAATTACTATGCATAACTAGTAAGAAAAATGCTCTTAAAAAAATGGAAGAGTTGGTCTGGGGATGTGGCTCAAGTGGTAGCGCGCTCGCCTGGCATGCACGGGGCACTGGGTTCAATCCTCAGCACCACCTAAAAATAAAATAAAGATGTTGTATCCACCGAAAACTAAAAAATAAATATTAAAACACTCTCTCTCTCTCTCTCTCTCAACAACAACAACAAAAAAGGAAGAGTCATCTGAAGTCTGAAGCATCCTGAAAGGCAGAGAATCTTCACTTCCAGTTCTAATGGTACAAGAACAAATTCCAATTTAATAAGAGGTCATTTGTACTCTAGACACTTGCTATCCAGAGTTTGATTCACTGTGTCACCTTGTTTCACCTGGGAGCTTGTTAGGATCTTACCCAGACTTCAGATCTGCTGAATCAGAACCTGCATTTTTAACAAGATCCCCAAGTGATCTATAAGTACATTATGTTTGTAAAGCATTGGTGTAGGCAACAAAAGCTTAGCTGAATTTGTTACAAAACTAGAGATTGTTACAAAACTAGACAGAGAGAGGAGGACATGGCACACAGAGAAAACCTCTGGTATTATTGAGGTGAAAGATGCTGTAAGTGGGGACAAGGGAAAAAAATAGAGAAGTGGCATGGTAAGATTTTTCTTTGTCACCTGAAATAGAACATATTTTAACCCCCAATTTTAGCTGAAGTCTGTTGTGCTTAATTTCAGTGTGATGAGTGTCTAATTGTAGACGTAATGGATAGCCAGTGGACTRACTTGAAATACTATCTCTCAAAAATTCAGCAAAAATTAAAAATGGAGCAATATATTTGCATGAGATTCTGTATTAATTCACAAGGACTATAAACCAGAAAATTCTATGAGAAGAAAATTCTGTGAGTTTTGGTCACCACATAGAATGTTTTTGACTCTTCAGTTCTCTTTTTAAACATCCCTCTCATCATCTTTCAAAAAAATTTCAATTTTTTACATCTTTTAAGGAAAAAAACTTCATGCAAATTAGGTTAACATTTATCATTTCTCTTTAATATTTTGTGACTCTCAAYGTTTTTCTAACCAAGAAAGGTATTAATACACTTTAATAAAGAAGTGCTTAGTGATGGCCAGCATTAGAGAGTGAATGACTGTAGTACAGGTGACAAGAACATATGGCCAATCTCAAATCCCTAAAATTGGAAAGTTCCTTGTATTTTGCTATGGCCAATATAATGTCTCTTAAAATACTTTTGGCTTCAGTTCTAATATAAAATGGTGAACTTTATAAATAGACATTTTCAAAATCTCAGAAAAAACACATATGTGTAATTGCTTTTTAAAATTTTTCTGAGATGTGTGTCTGAAACATGTTTGTGTATATATAGACATACATATTAAAATGGTTTTGTTTCATTTTAACCACAAGACATGTATTTTGAATATGCAAGTCTCGAATCTCTTCTATCTTTACAGACTGATTCTTTCCAAGTCAGAGCATATGTATTCAGGATAATGCCAAACATCAGAGAAAAGTGGAACAAAGCAGCCTGCTTTCAGTGATCAAACATCTCCCCTGAAGGCTGTAATGAAAGAGCCACGTGCCTTTGAAATCACCTTCTCTGTAATGCTACTTTGCTCAATAACGACAAAAACGACACATTAATATCCTTTTATGAGCTCATCCCTTGTTGGACAATCCAAATAAGCAATGCTGTGATCATATCAGAACAGCCAAAACAATTGGTTCAATAGATTTTCTTCCCCTCAAAATGAGGCAGTCGGGAAATAGAAAACTACATTGTTYGGAGATTTTCTCCTCTTGACTCAAATATACTCTGCCCCTTCACCTTCTCCTCAACCTGTCAAAGTCCAACTAACTCTAAAGATCCAGTTCATGCTCATCTTCTTCAAAGACTTCCTTGATCCCCACACCTGTTTAACAATTAATACCCTCCTCTGTGTCTTAATAGCATTTTGTATGTATTTTTATTATAGCTCTTAATGTGTTATTATCA